TCTACTTCCCTTTCATTCAACCAATTTTTAATTAGTGATACACGTACTAATGATGTGTCGTGTATTGTAGTTGCCTTCGCTCCCTTTGAAATGAGCATAGATGAAAAAACGTCCTCGAAGGATTTGACGATCATTTTAAAGTCCGGATTCGCAATTCAGGCGTTCTTTTAATTGAAGCTACGTCAATTAGGAATATTAAAGTCGCAGAAATCTAGGTGAAATTTGGGGGAAATTCTCGTTTGGCTCGGCTCCAAATCACTGTTGTTATCTGATGTGATAGATTCGGTGGGCGGAAAAAGTTAAATCTTTTAAATTCGAGTTGGTCACAGCATTTTTTTTTTATTAAATCTGAAATTATTTACTGTACATCTTCAGTTTGTGTATGTGTGTATGAAATTGATGTTGGTATATGAATGCGTAGTTATTAATCACATTCTATGGGTGATATAACAAAGCAGTAATAACAAATTAGATCCGGAAGGGTTTGCCGTATGCATGAATATGAAATGAACGTGTGAGTATGTACAGCGGCGTTCCTGTTGTTGACTGGCTTCGGTTGGTGGCACGGCATTAGATAAACATGCTCAACCCTCGTGTCCAAATTGAATATTTAAAGTACACAGATTACGTGAGCAGCGCCATTCGAAAATTTTGGTGTAACTCGAATGCGTAACGAAAGACCTATTGAAATTCTTATTAAGGTTTTACTGTTTATTTAGGACATCCGCAAATTTGTACCTTTATACAACATTTCCCTTTTCATCTTATGTAAATAAACCTCACATCTCATATAAGAACTCTTTCTTTGAGTAATTCAATAGAATATTTTATCAAACAAATTGAAAATTCATATAAAATACCAAATAATGTGTAACACTATAAATCATCAAAAATCATCAAACCGACTGGGCATAAGTTCCGTCGTGGGAAGATATTGGGCTCCAACTTTTAATTCTTCAGATCAGCACCCTTCTTCTCTATCGAACTCTTTAACTGTATTCTTTTTAAAGTTCTGGACCCGCACCAAATATATCAAAAATCTTCTCTATTGGAGACCTCAAGCGCCTCTCTTCACGGTTTTATCAAATCTCCCCGAAATTCTTTAGACATCGTTGCGTTAAGAAGCGTAGTTAACTTACAAAGTTGCAAATGTTAATGGTTATTCATTTTCAAGTATAATAAGGATAATTCAATAAATTTGATGTTTTCATAAATTGGGTTGGCAAAAAAAAATCGGTTATCACAAATAGATATAGTTATGTTTCCTTTGAAGGATTTTTGTCCATGTTATGGCTTTTTCCTTTCATTATTTGAAAGATGTCGGATCGCACTTGTTCAGTTTTTTTTTTTGCTAATAATGACCAGAAATTCTATGAAGATGTCAGAAAATATATTATTTATAAGTTCATTCTTTGTATATTAAAAATGAATTTTATTTCACACTAAAAAAACCGAAATGACTTTCTTGCTTAATTGTAAATATGCAAAAAAAAAAAAAACAATTTAAGTTGCAATTAAATTCAAATATTATATGATTTTACACAAAACAAAGTATTAATAATAATTTTATTTATTTACAAATAATTTGAACTAAAAATAATGCTGAATTTATAATATGTATAATGTTATAACATTAAATTCTTAAATGATTTTATTAAACATTCTAAATCATTATATTTAATTTAAAATATACATGAAAGTTTAAGGGTAATTTTTTAGTTTCACTTTTCAATTGGATAAATAATTAATTTTATTACAGTAAAATCATATTTTTTATATTAATTGTCTTTAATTATCCAACGTATCATTATTGCATTATAATTTGTAAAACTAATATATATTAATTATAAAATTTTGTAAACATATTTTAATTAATGTTACAGCAATTTGTTTTACATATTTTTTTATATTAGCAAAATCGTATACTAAAAATAGATAGAAAAATTAAATAATTTCAACAATTATTTATATTTTAGACAGTCAATTCTATCAGAAAACTTTAAATATAGTTGAAGAGAATTGGTTAGAATTTGTTTCTTATTTTTATTTAATAAATTATATAAATATGTTAATAAAATGAAGTAGCCTTTGTTGGGTGAAGCGAGGTAATGTATATATTATTTTAAGCTGATTTGTAGTTGGTATAGTTGAGGTATTTTATGGACATTTGATACGAGTATGTAAAATGTTAAGTGGGCTGTTACCTTTAGATGCGAGAGCTATTTCTAGGTGGGATGGTGGGAGATAGAGTGTAGTGTTCTAGCTAGTTGCAATGGAAACATATCCAGCAAGCACCGTCAGATGCTGTTACGAAAGGCGGGTTATAGGTAGAGCAACATAAATGGGATAAAGCCGGTATTTAAAGCCGGCATTTGCGATATAATAGCCATGCATCTCAGTTACTTCCACTCGAGGATTCAGCCGAAGTCCTTTTATACACATCCACCCTCCATGACATAGTGATACTAGCAGTAGTATACTACAACACACAAACGGATGAAAAGTATTCCCATCCCTACAAAGCCCAAAGATACGACGGGAGACGGAGAAGAGATGATGAAGTGCGGGAATTTACTGCCAATGTCCATTAAACTTGTGTTTTTTTTCTTCCCTCTCGCAAGTATATAAATAAGAGTACGTCTACAATGTAGACTCGTTATTGCCACGGATTCATGACGTATCGTTGCATGTTGCAGCGTTAATTATTAAAATTGATAATCAATTCGTTTCATTAAATGCGCCGGAAAGGGCATAAATTATGTAATAAAATGGTAATAACTAATGTGCACACGCGTGCGGTGCCCGGCGCCTCCGCACTCATTTTTGCATAATTGAGTTATTTGTACTTTCCGTCTGCCGACACGGATTAATTGTACTCGTTTCATCAACATTTACCACCTACAAAACGGGGCATGAATTATAGCAGCTATAAATAAACCTATATGAATATTCCAATAAATTTGTAATTAGAGCAGAAAGACCGCAGTCTCCGCAAACATCATACGTGGTCTGCAATCAATTTCGTTTCTATCCATTCAAATATTTGTTGCAATAGACTCAACCAGCTTTTAATTGCGCAATCGAAATACTGATCTATTTGAATCCTTAAATATCACAATTATTAAAAGAGTTACAATAATTAATAATACAAATAGTAAACAAAAAATGCATTGAAATATATATTAACTATAATTTTCAGCATTTCTCACCTTCTGTTTTTTTTTAAGGAAAAGGAACCAATTTCGATAAATTATATAACATTAAAATTAATTATTGTTATATATAACCGTATCTTAATATGAGCCAGGTGTAGTAAATATTGAAAGTAAATTTAAATAAATCAATCAATAATTTTAAAGAAAAATAAGTCGCCCTATCCACGTTTTCGTGTCCGCCGGTTCTAATCCTGGTCAAGCCAGGCCCTTTGTGAGCCCTCTCAATTCTTGCAGAAATAGGGCTATGGATCATCACAGATGGACAGTGAAATAAATGAGGTTCACATCATAATGGTAACTATCCACCGAGAAAAATTATCAATCTATTGTCAACCGCGATCTTAAATTTACTCAATGTTCACATTGATGAACAGATTATGAATAAAATTATACAACATAAAAAAAGAATAGTTATGAAAGTATTATAAGAATATCAAATAACAACATTTTTTCATATTAATTTATTTATTATATACCTCAAATTAAATTTTATAATAATTACAAAAATTAATATTAACTTTGGCAATAAATATAAGTTAAAGTGGAAATGAATGACATTATTTTGAAACGATAAAAAGAAATAAACAAAAACTGTACAATATAATTGTGTTAAATATTTTCTGTATATTATTTATGATTTTCCTCTTGGTAATTTGCAATATTTCAATACATTTTTGGAACATTCTGGCTGAATTTCATTAATACATGAGTCCGAAATTACTTGGACTAGTTAAACATTTGTATTTGTGTTCTATCGACTAAAAAACATGTAAATATCAGCTGAATATGGTGGATGCTGCAAAACTTCTAATTAAAGCTTTCTTATTTTTTACATTATTTTTTTAATTGTTTACTAAAACTGACCATTTTTTTCCATATTTAAACTTACTAATTGTATATAATACACTTATACTGATTGTATTGTAATTCATTTTTCCCAAAAAATTACTGTAGACCTGTGAGAATCTACTTCGCGTATAGAGTAAAAATTCGGATCGGATTAATATCTGGAGATGAACAGATACGTTATTCAAATTCCATGTCTATTTTTAAATGATCTTTCATTGATGTCCATGGACCAGCAAAGTCTTGTCTTGATAATTCCTTGATTGTTTTCGGATTCCACCAATGAGTTTAATCTGTCATTATATGTCTCCCTAATGTTGATTTGTCCTTGAAATCCCTATCACCATTTTTGAAAACATCTATAGCATTTTCGATGAATCAAGATACCTCCATATGTATCGCGGAGAGTCTGCGTAGCTTCTATTGATTTCAATGATTTATCAAGTAAAATATAGAAAATCTACCTATAACAATTTTTGGCCTTCTTTTCGCTTTGCCTTATACAAGGTGGCGCAAAAGTAAAGTTTCCCGAAAAATAAGGACCAATCTCTTTTTCACTTTGAGGGGATGCAATGGATCTTCTTGCATTACATGTGGATTCTCTGTGCCCCAGGAAAGTTCTTGAGATGTGTATCGCTCCATGGCTTATTGACAACTAATTCACTATATATCTACATTATAAATGTCAAAGCACGGTGACATTTGGCGCTATCTACAAAAATGGCAGCCAATTCAAATTATGACATTACTTTTGCGCCACCTTGTAAAAAAACCTTGCTTTATTAAGTTTAACTTCATATATTTGTAATTATTTACTATAAATTTTAATACAAAAAAATTAACTAATTTAATTATGTTTTTCTTTTAAATGAGCATTACAAGTTTACTATACTACTAAAAAATATAAATATAGATTAAAAAAAAAATAATAAAACTCACCTGCGATTTTTTTCTTGCACGCCTCAAAAATCTGCAACAAAATAGTTTTCATCAGATACACGTAACAGAAAATGCACATACATAATTTAATGCGAAATCCATGAATAAATCCGGCGTCATTTCGTATTTCCATTGTTGTTGCTGCGAAATATCCGAATGATATTGGAACGTGTCACGTACGCTAATAGCGGACACAGTTACGTGACCCATGCATTTATCCATGTTATCCATCCGCAAATAATTCGCGCCTTTTTGCTCGAGGGAATGGAAATAATTGCATAAGCGAAATTGCGCATGGACTAATGGACGACATTAATCTTAGAGTTTTCTTTTTCATGAATTCATTTTTTTTGTACTGTTTCCTTATTATATTCATTCATCCCGTCTGCCTACCGTAACATTTTTCACAATGGGGAATACATTTCCTGCCTCGCAATTTCCCGAAAGAAACTTCGTTTATTACGCGCAGCACGCAAAGAATCATTTACGCGTTGTGCAATAATAACTTTCGTGTCTGGACTAATTGCATTAAAACATGTGCACTAGTGATGAAAAAAAATTAATGTACAAAAAATTAATTGTTATTTAAACAGTTGGGTTTTCTGATTTTTACAGATTTATTTACGTTTACTTACATAGCATAAATGATTTAAACTACAAATTACGCAACGTCAATGATGATGATTGAAGAATGTAAATGAAGGACTGATGGCGCCGGTATTTCTTGTTCTTAATTCGTTAGTGTATGAAAAATATTCATTGTACAAAAAAGAAAATGTTATTTAAGCAGTTGTATTTCTTGATATATTTATGTAGCATAAAACAAGATGATTTAAATTATAAATAACTAATTTTTAAATTAAATTGCACTACTTTCGATTATTTATAAACATAATAAATTAAAGGAAGTTTTGAAGACTTTTAATAATTATATAAGTATTTGAATATTTCCTTATTAAAGCATTTTTATTATTTGTTTAATTTTTTTTCAATATTTACATCATTGATAAATACATAAAGTGAAGAATTCAACATTTTAATATTTATATTTTTAATTGTACTTAATTCGAACTTTGTATGGAAAATTGCTTAAAATATTTACACCAAATTTTATTGGATTTATTTTTTTATAACACTTGATTTTTGTTATTATTATATAATTATTTTTCTTAACAAAGCTATCAATAAATCTTGTAAAATGAATTACTTTAACAAAAGTTAATTAGCAAAAAATTATTAAAGTAAATGGAAAAACATATTTAGAAAATAAACAAAAAATAAAGAAATATAAGTGGTTATATGTCTGACTATGTAATTACTAAAATTGATGAGTTTGTTCGATTCCAAAGAGGAAATTAGGTTTTGGAAGGAAAATTGCGCGAATGTAAATAATTTGAATTTGCGGGAGGCAGCTGGATCGAAAATCGCGGCGGCAATATAAATTAGGGTGAAAAAGGCAAATCGGGATTGAGCGAAAATATCGAAAACGTTACAAGCAAACCATTATTGAAGAAGTTACGCAATGCTAATGATGATGGGAATGAAATTTGCGTGAGGAATGTAAGTGAAGGGCGGATGGCGCCGGTGCTTAGTGTTCTTAATTAGTTAGTGTCCTTGCAGCAACAGCAACTACTACAACGTTGATAGGGGATCCTCCCTTCTAAGAGGCAACTTGGAACGTTGTACAGCAATTACATCCTTAATTGTCGATGGCTGCGAATAAAATTCGTGCTGGAGCAAACAGCACCTATTTCTCAGATGGGAAACATCGAGAACTCCTCCACTGATCAAACATAGTATAGGAAATCTTCAAAGACGCCCATACATAGAGTTCAATCACTTGACACGACGATCGATTCAATTGACACACAGTTAGATGCATCAAAGGAAGTGGAAAATGTATTTATTGAAACCAGAGTCGCTGCTCGAAAACGAGCCGAAAGAAAGGAAAATAAACAAAACAAGAAGAAGAAGGAGAAATGTAAATCAAAGTGGATTATTAGGCGCAAGAATCCTCTGCGCGCTTCATCCACTTGTTTATTTTTCGGCGAATCGAGAGAACAATCCGACTCGCAAATTATGTAAGCTTGAGGGTGGCTCTGGCAGGCATCATTTCGCATTTAAAATCTAAAATTCAATTCGGGCTTTGCGACGCTAATTTGGATCGAGCCTCCTCATTTCTTCTTGCCCTTTCCTTTTGACTTCTTCTCGCTGCCTTTAGACGAGCCCTTCTTTGAACCTTTCTTCGATGATTTGTTCTTGTCTCCCTTGCGCTTCTTCTCGCCCAGACCAGGTCTGTCTATAACTTCCTCCTTCGGACGCACCAACATTTTCGTATCCTTCGGTATACCTTCAATACAAACTCAGTTTATTCTCATATTATATTTTTGCATCTTAATTTCTTTAAACGTATATTATAATTATTTAATTTACTTTAATTTTAATACATTTGTAATGTACACATTTCTATATATATAAAAAATAACATCTTTCATTGATATATTCAATAATTATGATGCAATTACAACATTTAGTTAAAAATATCCGAAAATTAAAACGATGAAAAATAATATACAATCTTCCTATAACGCGGTACAGCCCTAACACAAACCCTTTTATAACACGGTACTCGCATAATGCAATTTCCATATAACACAGTATCAATGGATCGCGTTATAAAAAGGGTTTAATGTAATCAGTTCTTGAAGTTGAACAGCAAATTGTTTATTTAAATATTTATAATTATAAATAATTTATAAAATCGTGTACAAAATTTATTTATTTAACGACTTTTATAGAAAAATATTATGTAGATATTAAAATTAGTACATGAATTCAATATATATACAACTTTTTCATGATATTGAGTTGTAGTAACATCTTTCATTGATATATTCAATAATTATGATGCAATTACGAACATTTAGTTAAAAATATCCGAAAATTAAAACGATGAAAAATAATATACAATCTTCCTATAACGCGGTACAGCCCTAACACAAACCCTTTTATAACACGGTACTCTCATAATGCAATTTCCATATAACACAGTTTCTTATTGCACGGTTTGCATATAACACAGTATCAATAGATTGCGTTATAAAAAGGGATTAATTTAATCAGTTCTTGAAGTTGAACAACAAATTGTTTATTTAAATATTTATAATTATAAATAATTTATAAAATCGTGTACAAAATTTATTATATAGATATCAATATTAGTACATGAATTCAATAATATATATACAACTTTTTCATGATATTGAGTGTTGTTATTACTAATTACATTTTCTTCCATAGTGATCCGTTACTCGCGTGGCGTCTTTGAAATATATAAATCAAAGAACACTTTTAAAACTGAATAGTTGAGGCAGTCCTCACCTATGTACGTTCTTCATACTGACTGACAATTTGTTAAAGGACATCACGCCATTTTAAGGTAATGCGTTGAAGGATTAACAGTAAAAAATTCTTGGCAGAGTCTATCAGACGCCAGTTGAGTAGTGGTTTTATAGTATTTTACATAAGCATTTTTTTAAAAGTTAAGGTAAGTTTTAGTGATTAATATATATATATATAATCAAATTGAAGATGATTATAGATGAATGGAAAAAAAAAATTAATCCAGAAAATGAATCGGATGCACAGATTTTACAAAAATTAACAATGGAATAAGACAAACAATTAGAAACAAACAATTATAGTGATGATTAATTACTAACGTTATATTTAACGTAGTTTCTCAGAATCCACGCGAGTAACGATTTTAAGAAATGACGCGTGGACAAACCCAATAATTGTTGAGTAAATAATTGTAGCTAAGATGGAATAAATCCAAATATTTAGTTGAAATTGCTATGCGGTGTTGTTGAACCGACTGTGTTGTTATTACCATAATGAAATGGGAGCTGCCGGATTTAAAGGGAATAGATGCAAATCTGGTTTCCGCTTGTAATATCAGATGTGTACGAGAGATCGGGCCGAAGTTGTTTCACTTCATACAAACAGTAAGCATTCCGAATAAACTTCGAGTCTCTCGGAGCGTGTAAACAGTGAGAGCTAGCAATTCTATGTAGCACTAAGAATAAGATGCACACCGCTCCGCAATCCGACGAAACTTAACTCGATGCACGTATTCAGAATATTCACGAACACAGATGTTTAATTTTGAAATGTAACCTTTATTTCAAATAGTGTTACATGCATTTTTCTATGCATTTCTGCTAAAAGAGTTCAATATAGTAGATGTTGAGATGTTGGAATTGATGATGAATAAATAATACATATTGATCAGAAGGGGTTAATACTCTGGACACCAATAAGCTATTCAATTGCACCAATCATTTAATCAATAGAAATGAAATGACTTATTCAATCATGTAACTTCCTGTATTTAGTACTAGAATCTCCTAATTTTCACTATAAAAAGATAAATAAATTTTCTAATTATATTTATTAATTATAATTCTTTCTTTTTGATATTCGTAAACAGAATTTTCCGAAAACCAAATTATTTCAAATAAATGTGAAAACCCCTAAACAACTGTAATTAATTTACGCAATTATTAATAACAACGAAAATATTGCACATACCTTCTTATAGTTAGTACTGAAATCTCCTAATTTTCACTAAAAAGATAAATGAAATTTAATAATTATAATACTTTCTTTTTGACTGTTCGTAAACCGAATTTTCCGAAAACTTAACTTTTTTTTTTGTTTCAATAAATTTAAAATAAATATCAAATCCACTAAATAACTGAAATTAATTGAAGCAATTATTAATAACAAAGAAAATACTTAACAAAAATATTGCACATTACTTCTTGTATTTAGTATTGAAATCTCCTAATTTTGGTTATAAAAATGATAAATACATTTTCTAATTATATTTCTTTCTCTTTGACTGTTCGTAAACAGAATTTTCCAAAAACCAAAATATCTAAAATAAATGTCAAAACCTGTGAACAACTGCAATTAATTTACGCAATTATTAATAACAAATAAAATACGTAACAAAAATATTGCACA